ACACCAAATGAAAAGAATATGCACACTGCTATGGTGTCTTAGAAAAGGGAAGGACCTCTGCAGTAGAATAACACAAGATGGAAGTTAAAAGAAGTTCCTTTGAGAAAATATGAGTCCTTTTCTGAGAGCCCTGCAGAAATTTGGAGCAGAATATGTGTTACTGTGAGATCAATTTCTGTGCTATTACTTTGTATACTATAAAGTGACACAAAAAGGAAAGCCAAAATAATGCTGATTTCATTCTGATGCTAGGCATGAAACCTGTGCCTCATTTTGCCAATTGGTAGTTGTGTCTGTGAGCCCAGGCTTCTTCTTGTGTAAAATGGAGATAATAATATCTACCCAGTAGAACTGTTTTCTCATTTATTCATTCATTTATTCACTCAGTTAACATTCCTTAAGTGTCTACTTTGTGATAAATTACTTTTGTAGACATTGGGAGATATAGTGGTGAATACCACAGTCTATGCTCCTGCTTCATGGAGCTTCCAAGGAGAATACTTGAAGGAGACAGGCAGGCAGGCAAGCTGTCAAACAAATGGCAAAACAGCAAGGAGTAACTGAGTGGTAGGACGTGTGGGTGGACACTTTGGCTTGAGCAGTCAAGGAAGACCTCTCTGAGGAAGTGACATTTAAATTCTGATGACTGAATGACAAGAAGGAACCCTCTACGTGAAGATCCAGGGAAAGACCTTTCAAAGGAACAGCTAATGTAAAAGTCCTAAGTTATGGACAAGTTTGGGTTATTGTCAGGATTGAATTCTTGCTGTCCTTATTATTTTCGCCATTGTAATTTTTGTGCAGGAAGGTTTCCAGAGTAGCACTAGACTAGAATGTGGAAGCCACTTTTGCTACTAAGTTATTCCTGAAAGTTACTTGAATATTGTACCACAGGTTAGATTATCTCATGTCTCAATGTGTTATATCAACTAACAACACAAAACAGCACCAAGAACATTCTTGAGCACTTTTCTGTGTTGAGCATTGTTCTAAGTACTCTGCTTGCTTTTTGTGTCTGCCTAGGAATAGAATTTGGATTCAAGAAAGAGAGGTCTCAAGAAGCAAGAGAGGAGGAAAAGTTGGAATGAATTGAGAGGAGTCATAATGCTAAAGAGATAGTGATACTTCAGGTGAAGAGTTAAAGGGAAGGAAAAGCTTTATTCATAATAAATCTGTTCTCCAAACGCCATCTTCCTGTCTTTTGTTTTTAGGCAAGGGGTAGTTTGGAGGAAAGAGGCTTACATGTAAGAAAAGAACAGGATCCAGGTCAGGTACAGGAGGCCCTAATAGTTTTATCTGTTCTCAGAAGCTCTTGAGATAGCCTGCAACACAGGAAAGTGGATAACTTTTTCAAGTTCTCCAGAAGAACACGAGTCAGGCTGGCTGTAGGTAGAAGTAGCTGCCTGTTCTTAACACATTTTTGCCACCATAGGCCTCCTAAAGGCTTGCTTTGGGCTCTGTGCTAAGCATGAATTTAATGTTAAAATACCAAATGTTTTAGTGCCCTCTCCTCCAAATCTCTTCTCTTCTTTTTCTTTAAGTTGGAGACAAAGCTTTGATAAAGTGTTTAGTGTTAAAAAAAAAAAATTAGAGGAAATTTCCTTTTAAAGGTACATGTTGATTTAACCCTATTTATATCAAAGTATAATCAGTCAGTAAGCAATAGTAACTGAATAATAAGAATAATGGTTCTAATTGCTGAAAGATGAAAATTAACAAGGTTGTATAGATTTATAAGGCTGTGGGAAAATAAAAGGATGTGGAGGGCAATTTTTTTGTTGTTGCTAACTTAGCACTTCTAATTAACATTGACTTTCTTTACTATCACCTGTGTGGAGGCAAATAGAAACTGCTTGGAAATGTGTTTTTTCATGTGATTATATGTATCTGCAGCTTAGTGAGTATCTGATTCTGTTATATGGTTTATATGGACTTTTTTTGTTGTTAAAAACAAGAGGTCTTGTAGGTAGGAGGTCTTGATTCAGCTTTGTATCAGAATCACTTGGGACCCTTTACAAAATCCAGATTGTTGGATCCCACTCTAAAGATTCTGACTAGTAAGCATCACTGTATAAAATATAAAAAGCCTCAGGTCTGGATTCCCCATTAACAGCTAGTGCTGAGACCAGTGGCATGAGAAAATGTATAAACAGTTATTAGCATATTGTACATTGTATTTGATGATATCATACCAAATTGAAAAAGGTTTTAGAGTTTACTTGCTGAAATATGTTGAATCTTTGTAATGTGACTTAGTTAACCCACATTTATATTGAGCTCCTATCACATATTTACATGTTGCTAAGATGTAATGAGTTCTAATATGAACCAGACAGTTTACAAATGTAGATTCATTTTTAGTTATCTAAAAATATGTGACTATTGAGAATAAATACTGTTTTTAATTTTAAAAAAAGACGGTATTTGAAACTCAGTTGCTTAGTATAATATTTAGGTTCTACATGAGATTAGAGTAGTGCAGATTCTGCTTGTTTAGGAAACTAAGTGCACATGAAATATTTTACCACTATTATAACACATTTGCACTACAACTGCAGAGTTGAGTAGCTGTGACTGAGACCATATGGATTGCAAAGCCTAAAATACTTTCTATCTGGGCCATTAGAGAAGAAATTAGTCAACTCCTGAGAATGTTGTTTGTCAATAAGAATAATTTTATTCCCAATCTGTTTACTTTTAATTTCTTTTTCTTGTCTTAATGCACTGGTCAGGACTTTCATAGAGCATTGAATGAGAGTGGTGACAGTGGGTACTCTTAGTTTGCTTTCCATCTCAGGGAGAAAGCATAAAGCTTTCACCATTAAGTATAATGTTAGTTGTAGATTTTCAGAGATACTCTTTATCAGGTTGAGGAAGCTCCCTTGCATTCCTAGTTAACTGAACGTTTTTAATGTTAATGAATGCTGAATTTTTTCAAATGCCTTTTCTGCATTAATTGATGTGATCATATACTCTTTCTTCTTTAGTCTATTAATATGGTAGCTTATGCTGTTAGATTTTTCCAGTGTTGAACCAGCTTTGCATTCCCCATATAAACCCCACTAGTTGTGATGTTATTTCATACATATATATTAAATTTTGTAATTCTGTTTATATGTATTTGATTTGAAATATGACTTGAAATTGATTTATAAATATATATTTATAAATAAATAGCTGGTTTTGATTTGCTAATGCATATATAATTTGTAATTTGATTAGCAAATCAAATGGAGACTGTGTGTATTGTTTATATGTTTGTGTATGTGTGTGTATTGTGTGTGTGTGTGTGTGTGTGTGTGTGTGTGTGTATTATATGGCTACCTCTCTGATGCATATTGGTATGGGTGTGGTTTCCCAAATTTATACATGTGTAAAAATTCTCTGCACTATATACATGTTTTGTGTGCTTTACTATGTATTATAAACTTAATTAAAATATAGCGGAAAAAAAATTCCAGAGAATCAATCCAACGGCACAATGCTTGAACAATAAGAGTGTCAGAATGAGATTAAAATAGAAAAAAAATAAAGGGCAGGAAATGAAGGAAATGCATCAAAGATGTTTTCTGGTTACTGAGGACATGAGTTTTCAAAATGAAAGTGCACACTATGTATCCAGCATATTGGGTAAAAATAGACAGGTACCAGCCGGACACAGTGGCTCACACCTATAATCCCGGCTGTGTGGGAGGGTGAAGTGAAAGGATGCTTGAGACCAGGGGTTCGAGGCTGTAGTGAACTGTAATTAGGCTTGTGAATAGCCATAGCACTCCAGCTTCAGCAAAACGAAAGATCTTGTCTCTAGAAAAAAAAATAGGCATGTCAAAACATATTATTGAATAATTGTGCAATCCTAAAAATAAAATAAAAGTGCCTACAAGCTTCCAGAGAGAAAAATAGATTCTGCTTTCCTCTGTAGCAAAACTGGAATCTAGGAGACAGTGGAACAAAACCTTCAAATATCTGAGGGAAAATTTATTTCAACCTATTCAATTTTATACCTCGAAAAGTATGATCATAGATTAACGACATCTTTAGGCATGTGAGGGCTTCATTCACTTTTTCTCAATAAGTGACTGTAGTATATTCAGCATCAAAAGAAAAGGGTCATATGGAAGGTCAATTTCTAGTTCTTTCAGAAATCATCACACTGTTTTCCAAAGAGGTTACACTACTTTGCATTCCCAATAACAAATAAAAACATTTTAAAAAGGAAAAAAAAAAAAAGAAAAGGTACATGTTGGTAGATGTGGTAACTCACGCCTTTATTCCCAGATACTTTGAAGGCTAAGGCTGGACGATCTCTTGATTGTCCTAGGGGGATTTGAGGTTACAGTGAGCTATAATTGTGCCACTGCACTCCAGCCTGAGTGACAGAGCGAGCCCTATCTCTAAAACATAAAAAATATATAAGATGGCCATTTAGAAGGACAGACTATGCATAAGGCAAAAACTGTCTACTTCCATGAATTGCTTGATGGATGTAGCTGATATCTCTTTATATCAGTGTGAGTTAGAGTCTGGAATCACTTGCTTATCTGCCCTATAAGTTGTTGTGTGTAAGGTTTTTCTGATGAAAAGAAATTGAGTTCTTCCAAAATGATTAGAAGGTTTTATTAGTTAAAATAATACTAGAGGAACCATACATTTAGAATAGCATGTGAAGAACAATGCACTTTAAAAGTTTTCTCAACCTCAGACAGGCTGTAGATCAAATATGACATGCTCTTCATTGCAGCTGTTTGAATGAGCCATTGAAATATAATATTTTTTAGCCGGGTGTGGTAGTACACACCTGTAGTTCCAGCTACTTGGAAGGCTGAGGCAGAAGGATCGCTGGAGCCCAGCAGGTTGAGGCTGCGGTGGCCGGAAGCGTGCTACTGCACTCCAGTCTGGGTGACAGAGTGAGACTCCAACTCAAAAAAAAAAAGAAATATAATCTTTTGGTGTTTCTTTCCAATTTCTAATATTGAAATATATTGTTATGTCTTTTTCAGTCAGAGGGAAAAGGCCATACCAGTGCTGGAGATGCAATTTATGAAGTGGTGAGTCTACAGCGAGAGTCTGACAAGGAGGAACCAGTCACTCCTCCCACGAGTGGAGGAGGTCCAGTGTCACCCCAGGAGGATGAAGCAGAAGAGGGTAAGCAGTTGAACTTTCCTCTAATTATATAGTTTAATCTTTCTGACATTCTTCAGATGGTGTGTGGTGAGGAAGGAGTAGCGGTTATTCCTAGCCTCTGCTACTGTTAGGCTAATTCTGCTACAAGGAAAAGAGAATTTGGTTCATTTGGTTCCTTGGTTACATAGTCCTCAGTGCCACTTATATGACTATTGATTTTGACAGGGTCAATTTGCTGTTTTTTGCTTTCTATTTTATTTCATTTTTGAAATGTTTAATGAGAATTTTCAAATTCTCTGAAGTGTTTTTAGAATTTTCATGATATGTCACGTCCTGTTTCTCATTTGACATTACTGTGTTTTGTTGTTGCTGTACTCCTTACCGCTGACTTTTTGGAAATGGTGTGATATCTGCTCTGTTTACTACATGGGTGCTGCTGAGAGATGCTAACCAAGCTCACAAGTCACACCTCATTTGGCTCTGTGCTCAGTAATCTTTTTATAATAACTAGAGCTAAATGACAGATCTTTACTTTAAGACCTTATATTATCTGCTTCTATGGTATTGTTCATTAACAGCAAGCTTCTGAATTTCTACCATCTTTGAAAAAAAATCTTAGAATTCTCAGTCTTTCTCTATATGAATCCATTCCTTTCTTTGATCGCCACAAAAATAATAGTTATTTTTAGCTAATGTTTATTTAGTGCTTACTATATACTAAAATAATTCTAAGTCTTTCAAATTCATTAACTTATTTAATACTTATTAACTTGATTTTAGGATGTGAAACTGAGATACAGAGAGCATAATTAACTTGCCATGGTCACTCAGCTAAAAGTAATAAATTTGAGGTCTTAACCCAGGCGATCTGATTTTAGCATTTGTGCCTGTAACTATGACATTATTCTGTCAAGGTAGCCAGTTGACTAAAACATAAGAAGCTCACCTTTTAAAACTAAGGTAAAATTCGCCTACGTAAAACTTTCTAAAAGTGTGCTATTCAGCAGCATTTAGCACATTTACAATTTTGGGCAGCCATCACCATTATCTAGTTTTAAAATATTTTCATTACCCAAGAGGAAACACTGTACCCATTAAGCTGTCACCCCCTGTTCCCCTCTTTTCCTATCCTCTGGCAACCACTAATCCATTTTCCCTCTCTATGGCCTTACTGATTCTGGATAATTCATTTAAATGGAAACTTACAAAATGTGACCTTTTGTGTCTAGCTTCTTTTATTTAGCGTAATGTTTTGAGGTTCTTCCACACTGATACATGGTGTAGCATGTATCAGTATTTCATTCCTTTTTATGACTGAATAATATTTAGTTGTGTAGATATACTACATTTTATTTACTATCCATTCATCTGTTGATAGACACTTTGGTTGTTTCCATATTTCAACTGTTGTGAATAATTCTGCTGTCCATATGAGAGTGTAGATAACTCTTTGACACACTGATTTCCTTTCCTTTGGATATATACCCAGTAGTGGGATTGCTAGATTATGTGGTAGTTTTATTTTTAATTTTTTGAGGAACCTCTGTACTGTTTTTTCAAAATACGGTACTAGTTTATATTTCTACCAACAGTGTGCCAGAGTTTCCTTTTCTCCACATCCTTGCCATGACTTATTTTTGCTTTTTGATAATAACTGTTCTTACTGTTGTGAGGTGGCATCTCGTTGTGTGTTTTAAAATTTTTTAAATTTTATTTCAATAGCTTTAGCGATACTAGTGGTTTTTGGTTATATGGATGTATTTAGTGGTGGTAAAGAAGACTAGGCTTTAAGTGTAGTGTACCCATCACTACCACTAGTGCACAGTATACCTGGTAGGCAGCTGTCATCATGATTTTGATTTGCATGTCCCTCATGATAGTAATGTTGAGTACCTTTTCATATACCTGCTGGCCATTTGCCCTTTTTTTTTTGAGTTGGAGTCTCACTCCGCCCAGACTGGAGTGTAGTGGCATGCTCATGGCCACCCCAGCATTGACCTGCTGGGCTCCAGCGATTCTTCTACCTCAGCTTTCCAAGAAGCCAGAATTACAGGTGTGTGCTACTGCTCCCGGCTAATTTTTGTTTTATTGTAGAGACAAGTTCTTGCCAAGTTGCCCAGGCTGGTCTCAAACCCACGAGCGCAGGCAATCCACTTGCCTCAGCCTCCCAAATTGCTGGGATTACAGGCTGAGCCACCGAGCCCGGCCTATCTTCTTTTGAGAAGTGTCTGTTCAGGTCCTTTGCCTATTTTTAAATAGGGTTATTTGGTTTTTTGTTTGTTTGTTTTGCTATTGAGTTGTGCCTTATATATGTTGGATTTTATCAGGCATTTGGTTTGAAAATGTTTTTCCCCATTCTGCAGCTTGCTTTTTCACTCTATTGATTGTTTCCTTGGCTGTGCAGATGCTGGTATTTTGTTGTAATCCCATTTGTCTATTTTTGCTTTTGTTGCCTGTGCTTTTGAGGTCATATCCAAAAAATGCATTGCCCGGACCAATGCCATGGAGCTTTCCCCCTGTTTTCATCTAGTAGTCTCATAGTTTTGAGTCTTACTTTTAAGTCTTTAATTCATTTTCAGTTTATTTTTTTGTATGGTGTGTGAGATAAGGGTCTGATTTTATTCTTTTGCAAGTGTGGGTATCCAGTTTTTACAACACCTTATTACAAGAGACTGTCCTTTTCCCATTGTGTGTTCCTGGCCTCTTAGTTGAATTTATAGTGGGCTGTAAATATGTACATTTATTTCTGGGCTCTCTATTTTTTTTGAGCTGGGTTCTCATTCTGTTGCCAGGCTGGAGAGCATTGGAATGATCATGGCTCACCACAGCCTCAACCTCCCGGGATTAGGTGATCTTTCTACCTTAACCTTCCTAGTAGCTGGGACTATAGGTGTGTACCACCATGCTGGGCTCTCTATTCTGTCTCACTGGTATATATGTCTGTTTTTATGCCAGTCCCCTATTGCTTTGGTTACCATAGCTCTGTAGTACATTGAAGTCAGGTATTGTGATACCTCCCGATTTGTTCTTTTTGCTCAAGATTACTTTGTCTTTTATGTTTCTATATGAATTATTACAAGATTTCTTATTTCTGTGAAGAATGTCATTGTAATTTGATAGAAATTACATTGAATCTTTAGATTGCTTTGGGTAGTATAGACATTTAAAAAATATTAATTCTTCAGTACATGAACACTGGATGTCTTTCCATTTATTTGTGTCTTCTCTATTTTTCCATCAGTGTTTTATAGTTTCCAGTGGAGAACTTTCACTTCCTTAGTTAAATTTTTTACTATTTAATTTTATTTTATAGCTGTTATAAACGAGGTTTTTAAAAATTTCTTTTTCAGATAGTTAGCTGTTAGTGTATTGAAATGCTACTGATTTTTATATGTTGATTTTGCATCCTGCAACTTTACTGAGTTTGTTAGTTTTAACAGTTTTAAGGTGGAATCTCTAGGGTTTTCTACATATAAGAAGACCATGTCATCTGCAAACAAGGACAATTTGATATCTTCCTTTCCAATTTGTATGCCCTTTATTTCTTTCTCTTGTCTAGCTGCTCTGGCTAGGACTTCCACTACTATGGTGAATGGAAGTGCCAAGAGTAGGCATCTTTGTCTTGTTCTGAATCTTAGGGGAACTCTTCCAGCCTTTATCCATTGAGTGTGATGTTAGCTATGGGTTTTTATATATGGCCTTTATTGTGTTGAGGTACATCCTTCTATACCTAATGTGCGGAGGGTTCTTCACGTGGAAGGATGTTGAATTTTGTCAAATGATTTTTCTGCCTTTATTGAAATTATCATATGATTTTTGTCCTTTTTTGATGTGTTACAGTTATTGATTTGCATGTTGACCCATCCTTCTATCTCTGGGATAAATTTCTCTTGATTATGGTGAATAATCTAGAATGTACTGTTGAATTCAGTGAGCTATAGTAACCAAAGCAATAGGGGACTGGCATAAAAACAGACATATATACCAGTGAGACAGAATTTTGTGGAGAATTTTTGCATCTGTCTTCATCAGGGATATTGGTCTATACTTTTCTCTTTTTGTAGTGCCCTTGTATGACTTTGATATTAGTGTATTAGTGGTATTAGAAATGCTGCCCTCATAAAATGGGTTTGGAAATGTTCCAACCTCTTCAAATTTGTTGGAAGAGTTTGAGAACATTTGGTATTAATTCATCTTTAAATGTTTGCTAGAATTCAGAAGTGAAGTCATCGGCTCTTGGGCATTTTATTGTTGGGAGATTTTTAAAAATTTTCTGATTCAGTTTGCTTGCTCATTATTATCTCTTCGTATTTTCTGTTTTCTTCATAATTCAGTGTTGGTAGGTTGTATGTGTTGAGAAATTTATGTATTTCTTTTAGGTTATCTAATCATTTGGTATATAATTATTCATAATAAGTATCTTCTTGTATTTCTGTTGTATCAGTTGTAATGTTTCTTTTTTCATTTCTGATTTTATTTGTATCTTCTCTTTTTTTCTTAGTCTGGCTAAAGGTTTGTTGATTTTGTTTATCTTCTCAAAAAGTCAACTCTCAGTTTTGTTGCTCTTTGTCATTGTTTTTCTAGTCTCTGTTGCATTGATCTCTGATCTTTATTTCCTACTTCCTTCTGCTAAATTTGTGCTTACTTTGTTCTTGTTATCCTGGTTCATAGAGGTGTACTGTTTGGTTGTTTATTTGAGCTCTTCTTTGTTGATGTAGGCATTTTTTCTTGTGAACTTCCCTCATAGAACTGTTTTGAATGGATATCAAAGGTTTTGATATATTGTGGGTGTTTTTCATGTGTCTCAAGAAATTTTAAGATTACCATTTTAATTTCTTCATTCTCCCATTGGTTGTTCAGGGAAATATTGTTTAGTTTCCATGCATTTGTGAATTTGGGGAGTTTCTCCTGTTATTGATTTTTAGTTTTATACCATTGTAGACATAAAGATGCTTGATATTATTTTATTCTTCTTAAATTTGGTAAGACTTGATTTGTGGCCTAACATATAATCTATTCTG